GGGGGGGGGGGGAGATTTTTTGGTTAGTTGCAAATATGCATTGCAGTGTCATCAAGCATTTGTCATCTTGGGGGTTTGTGTTGATCAATGCATCATTTTTTTGTTGTCCTTATACAATGTTTCACTTGTCTGTCTGTTTGTTTTTTTAGCGCAGGGCCTGCAAGTTCAAGGCATAGTTCTTTTTTCTATGCACTTAGTTACACATGGGGTTTTGCTTTTAGGTGTCAAAGTCAAATGTTGCATATACCATATTGCATTCACAACAAGTTACAGCTACTTTTGTTGCTCATGTTTCTTCCTCCTCTCTCTCTCTCTCTCTATATATATATATATATGTATGTATATAGCCTAAGTCATCTTTGGAAAAATGCTGTATAACAGAATGGTTTTGAAGAATTCCTAAGCAGAGAATGGATAAGAAGTTGAATGGTGAAGAAAGGAGCAAAGAAGGGTCCCCCCATCATGACAGCCTGACAGGGAGCAAAGTGTACATCAGCCCGGCTTCAAGAGCGTGGGAAAGGTCATTTCTTTCGGTGAGCTTCGCTTTGAGAAAGGCCAAGTGATGGATATCATTTTCTTCCTCCAAAGAGTCACTCCTGTTGTATGATCAGTGAACATTCTCACTCATTCTCTTGGCCTTATTGATAATCACGAGTAGCAAGTCCTTGTATACATACACATATACATATTATTACTCCTGTCATGAAAGAGATCAACTTTACACCGTATAAATGCATGGTATTTGTAGATTATTGAATGCCAATAATGGGTATTCGTATATATTATTTGGTGAAGCTTTTTATTTTTGTACAAACAATTCTTGATTTAAATTTTTTTAGAAAGAAAAAAAAAGGGAGGGTCATAGTGGTCGGAAATTGGTGAATGGGTCACTCATGGAGAGGGGGATGGGGAGTTGTGTAAGGCATTTGCAGGGCACTCGCTCACTGTGTGTGTGTCTCAATCTTTAGTTGACTTATGAAAAGCTGAGTTATATGAAGGCCAGAATGGAATGATCAATGCCCCCGCTCTTTCCACATCTCTTTTTCCCAAACCACAAACCCAAAAAAAAAAGAAAAAGAAGTTCTGTTTGGTACCACGGATAAATTAAAATCTGCCCTAAAGATTTCCTGTTTCCCCAACTAACCTAATCGAATATATATATATATATATATATATATATATATATATGTGTGTATGTATGTATATATAAAAGTCTTTGTCTTTGTCTTTTTCCTAATAACTAGGTGTAAAAAATATCCCATCATCAATATTTCATGAGTTGTATTTAGAAATGTATAATCTATTCGGATCAGCTCGGACTAAATAAAATAAAATATAATCTATTTAGAAATATTCACTTTAGCTAGGACTAAATAGAATATAACCAATGAGTCGAATTAAATTAAATATAAAATAAAAACAATGGAAAGAATCAATATTTTCAAAATAAATAAATAAATAGTTTTATGCTAGCAGTGTTCGTGACAAATTGAATCCTAGAGTCAAATAAAATTTTCCTTTTAAACGACTTTTTATTTATAGTTTTGGTCATGTTGATAGAATGATATATATATATATATATATATATATATATAGTTTATGCTAGCAGTGTCCATGTGTGTATGTTACACACGTTTCACAACGTCGACTTTTATTTTCATATTGGATAAGATTAAATTTACAGAGTTATTAAATATTTATCAACCGTTTATTATTGTGGACATGGCCATTAATTAATCAACGCCATAAAGATGCCTTTTATTAGTTTAATACAAAAACATTTAATTAGCTCTTAAGCCAAAGATAATTGTACTTAACGTTAATGATTCATTAGGACGTAGCAAAAAGCAATAATCATGTACAGAGTTTGGCATGGTTCCATAACCCATCATATACTTGGCAATGGACCCATTTGTAATACAAAAACATTTTTTTATGATTTAAATTTTGAACATAAAAATATATATAATCACTCTCCCATTTTATAATTGTAGGAGACCATCGGTCTCGTATGTGTCTAAGGAAGCCTTCGGATGATCGGTTTGAATCGGAATGTCATTAACAATATTTTGGTAAATATATCGAAATTATAAATTCATTTCAACTCTGATTTATAAATTCGATTTGAGTGTTCATTAATTTTGGCACTCTCTTTTAAATATTCTTTCTTCTTTTTCTTTTCCGATTTTTTCCAATATACATACATATATATATATATATATGTATGTAAAATAAGATCATCGCATGATCAGAACACATAAATCTGTGGTTGCATCTTCATTGTGATTCTAATAATTAATCTCTTGATTGGTTTGATTTGACTCTTGGGTTTTTCTTTTTACCGCAAAATTGTGATTGACCAAGAAAGTGTAGCACTATTGACTAATGTCACATGTGGTGCACTTTCATGGAACACCATTTCAGATAGTGGCTTCACACACACACACACATATATATATATATATATGTATGTATGTATTATGTGTATATATATATAATAGTAAAACAATAAATGGGCTCAAAAGTAAATTGTAAAAAGTTGAAAACGTGATGGAAAACGTTGGAACTTTTTGTTAGTCATGAAAACTTGTCATCATAAATCTAATAGTTTTTTTAAAAAAATTGTAAAAAAATTAAATCCACATATAATACAGAATTACATGGAAATTTTTTACTGCTATTGTGAAGAAACATTAAAAAGATCGGGAATTTGGGTCATGCAAAATGCAAACAAGCGACACCCATGATTCATGAATAGTGCAGTTGACTTTTGTACTTTGGGGTTGGGTGAAATTGTAAGTGCCAATTTCATATCATTCATTCATTCTCTTGGTATCATTTCAACAGTTTGATGTTACGCGCACCACTTTCATTATACTTTTTTTTTCGGTTCTTAGTCCAACAAATGCTCGTGTCAAAATCATGACAACTTATATATATATATATATATAAACAGATCTTTTAGATACCCAAACACCAATTTACTCGAGAATATTAAAAAAATATACATTTCTCATGATTATATTGTACATATACTATAATGGATTACCATGTTTTCACCATCATCATCATCATCATCTACGAGGGCCATTAACAGTTCCCACCACATTACATGAGAGCATATAAAAAGGAAAGCTTCGCTCCCTTCCCTTCTCAAACCCACGTTTTTCAAATTCCTTCTCCTCAACAAAAGAGTGAGATACAGTTTTATATCAATATGCTTCTTAGGATCAAAACCCTCCTTCTTCTTTTCCTCTTCCTCGTTTCTTCGTCTTCATCATCGTCGGGTACATCAAACATTCCTCTCCCTCTCCCTCTCTCTCTCTCTCTCTCTCTCTCTCTCTCTCTATATATATATATATATATATATATATATATATATATATGATGTAATTTGTTGCTGTATATGTTCCTTGTAGGCATAGTTGAACACTCCATCGACCGTGGAGGTTCCATGCACGAAATACTCTACGAGGTAAACTCAAAAAAACACTTGCTTAGCTACCAAAGTTTTTTTTTTTTAAAGGAATCCACTAATTAAGCACATATACAAATTTTTTAGAAATATATATTAGTTACGTAAATATTATTATTTGGATTCAAAAATAGTACCAGAACCTAATTTCTTTTACCTGATGTTTTATTAGTTCTTTTCACAAACGACCGTAAAGCTTATCGAATATTTTAAAAAAAAAAAAAAAATCTGAGTTTCCAAATTTTTATAGCAAATCCTGACATATTGTTAGAGCCTTGTATATATATAACCCTAATAAAATCCATATAATCTCTCCCCTCTCTCTCTCTCTCTCTCTCTATATATATATATATATATATATATATATATATGTGTGTGTGTGTGTGTGTGTGGGTGGTCTGAATCCAAGACTATTGTTTTCTTTGTATATGCATTGATAAGAACAACGTTTTTTTTTTCAGGTTAAGAATAAGAAAGTGAATATGGATCATAGGAAGCTCATGTTCGAGTCGACACTCGACTACGACGATGCAGGTCCCAATCCAAAACATGACCCCAGAAGGAAGCCCGGCGGCAAGCCTTGAATATAATACCAAACTCATCATGCTATGTCATATTATATATATTATATATATATACACACGTACATACATATGTATGTATGTGTATAACCTAAACTGCATAGATATAACATATCTTTTCACTATTAAGATATACAGTATATATGTATATCCTTTTTCTGAGGATGAGATCAATGTACAACGCCTTTCGGAACGTGTTCATGTCGGGATATATATATATATATATATATATATATAATTTAGGGTCTGTTTCTTGTGTACTTGGACTCTGGGATATTAAATAAAGAGGTTATGGTATGGGGGTGTCGGTCTATAATTTATTTCAAAAATATATCATTAATTTTTCATAGATTCATAGCATTCTGCAGGGAATATAGAGCGGTGAGTCGGTGACTGCAGTCGGTCCATAAGGATTCTCTAACATTGGAAACCCATCTAAATCTAATTGGCGTTTCCCGTTATTTAATTGATTTTTGTTTTGTTTTATAATCAGATATTGGACTTTGTCCTGTCCACTTGTACGGTGCTCGTACTGTGGCATCATGTGTAAAATACTCACATATAAATAATATCATTCCCTAGAAAAAGAGAATATATATATACACACACACACATATTAATTTCCAAAATCTGGATATTTAGATCCGATTTCTGCTCATACATAAGCATGTCGACCGAATTTAGTTAGATCTTTATGATAGGCCAATGATATTAAAAATTAAATTTTGTGGACAGATTAAAAATTTAAGATTACAAATAATCTGTATTATCCAATCTTGTTTTATAATATATAGTCGATATATATAATCTTAAATTTTAAAAAAAATATAAAAATGTACACTCAAGCACGAGGAAATTTATCGAGCTTCACTTTTTCTACAGACGTTTTAACTGTTTAGTTTCATCTAACTTTTTTATAATATGGTGTTTCATTGATATAATATCTACAAACTTAATTAGCCAAAATTTTGATATTAGTGGACTGACCTCTAACTGATCTGTCTTTAATTTATTATAATATCTAATGGCATCATATCTTGTCAGGATTATTATTCGCATTGCCTAGTCTGCGATCTGAAATGATATTATAATATTAGTCTTTGTTGTTGGATTATTTTAGATATTCACGTAGACAATGTATTATAGGATCTTAATATATAGATTTTAAAACCTAATATAGACATTATATTATGTATAGATATTATCATGCATTTTTTTTCCATTTATGATTCTATTACGATAATACACTCATGTATCATTATTGATTTCCATTAGTCCTTACGAATTCCGTACGTTAGATCTAGAGTTAATTTCCTCATTCATATTTTTTTTTTGTTTATAAAATTTGTCCGGTTAATTCAACATGCTCACGAGAGGGAGGATCCATTTTTTTATATTCTTGATTTCTTTTTTTTATCTTTTTTTTTATGATTAGAAAATTCACCAAATCTTTGAACCCATTATATTTCACGACTCAAATACCTACTACAATTAAATTGTGTACCTCATCTCTGTCTGCTTAAACCGTTCGTCGTGAGCGCATAACGAATCATTTTACAACCCAATCACTTCAAACATCTATCATTCGACCACCACAAGGTGAGTTATTTGTCTCTTTGACGTGCATCCTGATTCAAATAAAATCAGAAGCAAGTTCATATACAGAATTTCAAAAGAAAAACCTAATTTAAGAATGGATTTTTTTGTTTTGTTTAAAATGGATTCGATCGAATCTAAAGAAACAGTGGAATGAATTAGGGTTGTCGGAGATTTAGGCATATCATGAAAATGTACTGTGCGGATAATAAGATGATGGCCCCAACATATCAGAGATGATTCGGTGGCCTTTGCATATCCAAACAGCTTCCACTCATTGATCAGATAAGATACAAACACACACAGAGACATATATATATATATATACATATTATGCGTGTATGTAAGGTCATATCTTTATCATCAAATCTCCCAAGTTAGACCCCGTGCTTCACTAACAAGCATATTATTACTTTATTTAGCAGACAATATGTTATTTAAAGGGAGGAATCGTAAGCTAAACAACGAATTATAGGTTTGAAACTAACTGGGATTGGTTAGCCGAATTTCGGAAAATTTCTAAACCACAGGTCCGATAAAAAACGATGCCGTATTGCGAGGTCGCGAGAGAACGCCGGTGACGGTCCTACCAAAGCCCTTCGATCTCATCATAGGTCTCTGGGTTTAATTAGGGATGCCGATTCCGTGTTTCGATTGTTAATTTTAGGGATTTCGAGCCTTTTCCCCAAATTTGTTTTGGTTGAATTACAAACTATCTGCCGACTCTCTGTGGGAATTGTGGTGATCGATCGGTTTAGGATTGGTGGGAACTCACGAGTCATGGCTACCGCAACTCAAGGGCTTAGCCGGAGCGAACAAGCCCAACGACGACGAAGCAGCGGCGGATGAACAGAGCTTCGACGTAGCCGCCGGGGAGTCCGGCAGAGGAGGCATCGAGGTCTGCGCGTTTGATAATCGTGGTATGGGTTGGAGTTCTGTACCCACCAAAAGATCTGGATACACGTGAGTCTTTATATGTCGGATTTGGTCGTAGGAATAACTCGATTGTTTCTCTGTGGTCGTTCTTGAGGGAATTCTAGTTGATTTGGAAGCTTTGTTCCTGATGGAATTCTAGTTGATTGTGTTACTGTGAATCCATTTGTGAAAAGATGCAAGCTTGATGCAGAACAAAGATAGTGGCAAAGGATGCAATTGCCTTGTTGGATCATCTGGGTTGGAAAAAAGCTCACACTATAGGGCATTTCTATGGGTAAATTTCGCATCATTCTTTTGTGTTGATCTTCAAATGACCTTGATCTTTCTCTTTAGATCGAGCTGAGGCATGTCAATGAGATTAGGCTCCTTCATTTCTGCCCCCATTGAGGTGGTAACAACAAGTGCTATGATAGCTTGCAAGTTGGCTGCAATGGTTCCCAAACGAGTTCTTACTTTTGCTTTGCTTAATGTTACGGGTAGAGATGATGGATTTGAAGCCGCGATCTCAGACCCACGGTAAATGGTTTTACTGTTGAGCCAAGTCAGTCTTTAGACATCTTACAGATAATATTATCACAAAATATTTTCTGTTTACTTTGTGTTTCAGCTGAACTAGGGGTGGGTACGGGTCGAGTACCCGAGATTTTTGGGTTACCGGACCCGAACCCAAATCTGAAAATTATACAAAATAATACCCGAACTCGTACCTGTTTTAGTCGGGTATCCAGAAATCGGGTACTCGAGATAATACTCAGATACCCGTGAATAACCGGACCCGAAATTTAAATATAAAATATAAATAAAAATGTATTGATCAACCATAATCTTTAAAAAATAACATAGAATCGTAAAAGAATATAACCAAAATCATCACATTTAATCAGTTTACCAAAATTATTATTCGTATTCATAAAAACATAAGAATATCATCATATTTCAACGATTTGTGAAAGATTTTATGGACAACCAGAGAACAAGAGAAGCGGTAGAAAAAACGTCTGTGATGTGCTCAAATGTCTTATGAACGATACTAATAGAGACATTGCACAAATCGGAAGGAGTAGAGAGGTTGAAACACATGAGAGAGATGGGAGGTTTAGATATTCACGTAGACAATGTATTATAGGATCTTAATATAAGAGTGTGTGGGAGCAGCTCCGTTTCTGGACAAAAGAAAATGTAAAGAGAAAATGTAGAGTTAACCCTAGGTAAATGTTAAGGGTAAAATCGTAAATTTATATTTTTTCGGTTATCCGCAGATAATATCCGAACCTGGACTTTACTACCCGAATTTCGGGTTTTCTGAAGATCTAAACCCGATCTCATCTCATATTATAGTCGGATACACGAATTTCGAATACCCAACCCGCGGATCGAATCGGATATCCAAATTTCAGATATTTTTACCCACCCCTAAGCTGGACCGAAAAACATTATCCATTGCCATACGATTTCTAAAGCCAAGAGTCCTGAACAGAGGGCAACTGTTGATTTGGACACACATTACTCAGAGGTTGGCTTTTCAAATGTTTCCAGTTCTTGTTCATCTTTCTTCTTTGACTTGTTAAATTCTAAATTGTTCATAAAGCAAATGTTGGGATCAAGGTAAATAGGTTGCATTGTAAAAGAAGTAATCTAGTGCATTGACTTGCTATTCTTCCAAGTTTGGTGTTATCGCCACAATGTGTTCAGGACAAGGATCAGATTATTCTTACAACGGTAGAATCTAATGAAAATAGTGTTAGAACTTGTGTGTTTTCATGGTTAACATGTTCTAAGACCAGTCAACTACTTTAAAGAAACTCCAGCGAATTTAAGTGAGCTGTTATTCGAGGTTCGGTTACCTTATGAAGTCTCATGTTGGTGTCTGATATGGAGGAATACCTGGATGAACGAGTTGGAACTACTGTAGTTTTCGCGCGAAAATGACCCGTAACTATACGGGCAATGCTGCTTCAGATATCTAATTTCATGTGTTTGCATTTCAGCAATATGTAAACAGTATATCACTATATCAACAACTGGAATGCAATCTAAGTAGGGTTTTGATGGCCAAATCAATGCTTGTTGGACACATAAAGTAACAAGAACAGAGGTGGAACTGATCCACTCAGCTGGATTTCTTGTGCCATTCATTCATGGAAGGTGTGTTAATACTTTGAGATTGAATTATTTTGCCTACACCTTCATGAGTTTTTGTGATCTTGTAAAAATCCAATCACATAATTTTAACCTAAATTATATGGTGGATATATGTAGACATGATGTAATTGCTCGGATATATTATGCGAGAGGACTGGCACGGAAGTTCTGTCCTGCTGCTACAATGGTAGATCTCCATGGAGGACATCTTGTAAGCCATAAGAGAACAGAAGAGGTACTTGATCATGTCTTAATCTTTTACCTGTCTCTCCGGCATATGAAGGATGTAAAACAAAATACACGACCTTTCCCGTCGATTTCCTTGTTAGATTTCTTTGAATGTTTAAGCCATAAGAAGTCTCTGTTCTTTTCTCCTATAAATAGCTAATACAATCAGTTAACAAGAGTTCACTGAATAGATAGGGGCCAAAACAAAACTATAATTTTATGGATCATGGAAGAAAAAGATTCAAGACGGCATACATGGAAGAGCATGTCTACTGCTAATGTAGTATCCATGGCTAGAATTGCAGGAAAAACCGTCCTTTTTATCTAACAAAGTAAAATCTTTTACTAGTTATGAGTCTTATGACCTTTATAAAGGGAAAGA